CACTGGTTCACTGCTATTTTGGTCCACTGATTCATTGGCCCATTGCTGCACCGCTTCACTGGTCCACTGTTCCACTGGTCCATTGTTCCACTGGTTCACTGGTCCACTGGTTTACTGGTCCGCTAGTCTATGATCCAGACAGAAGCTACACTGCGCCTCATGTATCCTAATTTGCCAGTTGTTTGGAGCCTCCCTTTCCATAGCTTTGACAGGAAGGCCAATAAATGAGATTCCTTCATTCAGTTCAATGCTTATTCAATTCAATTTATTCAATTTGTTTCTCCTTCCTGTCCTCTCAAACCCAGCCAATCGAAGCAGATGGCCGCCTGTCCCGAGTCTGATTCTGTTGGAGGTTTCTTCCTCATGAGGGATTATTTCCTTTCCACTGTCGCCTTCATGCTTGCTCAGAATTAAAGTCTGCGATGAAGTTAAGACTCAAAGCAGTCTGCTCCTCAGATAAGTAATGTTATTAACTTACTTAGTTAATATTATTAACTTGAGCATGCATCAGGAGATATTAACTTACATTTTATGTATACTGTATGAATGTTTCTGTTCATTGCCCTGAGATGACTTCTGTTGTGACTTGAGTTTAGCAGGTATGGAATCTAATCATCACCAGGCTCTGATCAGTCTCCTGCTCTTCCCTCAAGCGTTTGAGACGCTCAAACAAGGTTAAATAAATAAACCTTCTATGTTTAATAGTAGTTTAGCACTGTCTTTCATACAACAAACTTTAGTAATGACTTGAACCGTGTCATAAATCCTCAGGTCATATTTGGTGCTTTTAAACACAGCTGACTTGGAGACAGTTTGTTGTTCATAATATGCGGCGGCGTGTTGGGCCAAAGGTCAGTTGTTATCCAGCGGTAGGTCAAAGGAAACAAAACAAACAATCCGTGTAATAATGTTTTCATAAACATATTATTTGTATTGATATTCATCTCCTGGCCCTCAACCTGTCAGTAGAAATCAAATTTTAATTACAGGTAAATTTAATTTGACACTAAAAATGTCTTGCTTAAAAAAAATATTTCTTTTGTTTTATTTAAAACATGCACAAATAAATAATTAGTTATTCAGCTATATTTAAAGTATCAAAGATTTATTTTAATAGCAAGACTGATTTATTATATTGTGCTGAGTTGGGAAATAAAACCTGCTGAAACGTTTAAAATGTGTTTAATCGTTTTCCTGCCCTGTAGCGACCTCTAGCGGTCATAAAGAAAACTGCACGGAAATAGTAAACTGAAGTTCACTTTTGCAAGGATTTAAAAAAAAAATTACTTTGCAAAAACAATTTTCACAACACGAGCTCATGCTTTAATTAGTTACATGTTTCTTCAAGTGGTCAAGACCACTGTCAGGTTTTAAGACTGGACTAAGTGATTTAAAGTCGTCCTTTTTTTGTTACACAGATATTCTTCTAGACGTATTCAATAATACCTTTAACTTTATGATCAGAAATGTTACTTTCAACAGTTTTTTAACATATACATGAACGTTCCCAAACTAAAAGTGTTTATATATGTATAATTTTATACAATCGTTGTATTTTATTTGATCATTACAACAGTCTAGAAAATAAAACCCACACACATTATTGTTATTGTAAATTAGGCGTGTACGATGTATTTAAGGTTTCATTACTGATAGTAAAAAAAAAATCTAAATCATGCAATTTATTACTCCAAAAAGGATAATGATTCTGTTTGTACAAAAAGTAACACAAAAAATATCAGATTTTAATTTATTTTTCATTTTTGTTTTGCATTCTGATAGAAAATACACATTAGTATGACTTAACTGTAGATGTTTTTCCTGAATTGTGTGTATCTATTTTTTAATTCATATTTTGAACATTTTAATTAATATATTAATTTAATCTATCTATCTATCTATCTATCTATCTATCTATCTATCTATCTATCTATCTATCTATCTAAATTAAAGAAAATATAAAAATTAAGCTTAACAATTATTGCTTTTTAAAATAATTTGTAATGTTTTTTGTGCATGTTTGTTGCTTTTCTAAAGCACTTTTCACTACATTTAGGACGCTTTTATAAAATAAATTTTAATTTGATTTAAATTAATTTTTAGGCCACACATGCAAAACAAAAAATAAAATCAGCAGCTGAATAGTTTCGCGGGAACTGCTGTCAAAATGACCACGCCCACGAGCGATAAATTAACCAATAAGATTGCTACAAAGCCAGTCATGCCGGATCCATCGACCAATCATAACGCGACAAATTCAGAGGCGTTTAGCCCCGCCTTAGCACTATAAATTTAGAGGTTCACGTGCGAGCTATATATTACCCGTTAGTTGTTTATATGTTTTACCTGGACATAAATTATGTTTTTAAACATTCATAAATGTATTTCTATTAACTGTTTTATTCAGTAGTTAACAAATCTGAAGCATGAAAAAGTAGCTTTGTTGTTTTTTTTCTGGATTCTTTTAATTAATTTTTTTCAGGCGGAATAAAAAGTAGTTCCAACGTCTGGCGCAGGACTGAGCCGCTTCATATTTTGGCCGATTCCCCCTCATTTCACGCGTGAGAACGTCACAGCCGAGCCAGACTGTGTAGTGTGGTGTCATCCCCCCTCCCCACCCCAGGAGGCTCTGCTCTCCCAGCCCCTTTGTTCGCTCCGGCCGGTGAGTCAGAGAGGGGCGCGGAGCTGCTGCTAGCCCAACAAACCCACCGGCAACGTGCAGCCCGGAGCGAAGAGGCCGGCGGAGGGAGCGACACAAGAAAGTTGTCCCGGCGGCGGAACCTTTCATGTCGTTAGCCGCTTTAGCTAACCGTCCGGGAGAAAATGAACCGGCAGGCTAAAACTCAGCACCGGTTTGTCGCCACCATCCTCTGACTCTCCCTTTCGGTTTCTGCTCAGCATCCATATTTGCATCCCTCCCTGGGAGTGGCAGCCGCTAATCCCTCTCTCTCTCCTCCCTCGCGGGCGCAGACCTTCCCGGACTCCCCCCTCGCAGGTTTCATCCTCGCACATTAAGGTGAGTTACACCTATTACAGGTATTTTTTATCACAAGGCGCGTTGTGTTCGGGTGAAGGTGAAGGGCAGTGGAGACCACGCTGCCGCAGGAGCGACAACAATGGATCAAACTGCGTTGTTGTGTTACATGATCGCCCCCAGCCCTGGGGTCCATTAGGAGGTTTATGATCCAGGCCTCGGTGCAGCATCGCTCACAGGCCTGATCTGAACCCACGCGCACTCATTTATACACTAAAATGCTCATTTGTTTCACAATAACAGCCTGTAAACAGCTTCAGCAGCAGTTTATGAGTAATCAATCCATCAGGCTCCGAGTTGTGATGTGAGGACATGCTTACAGCTCTCCAGGGGCGATTCTAGGAGCTGAACTTTGGGGGGTGCTTAGCCCCCAGTACTGACATCAGTGTTGCCAGATAGAGTCGAGGTTTTCCAGCCCAAGAGTCTGTTAAAAACCGCCCCATCACACACAAACCCGCCCAATCAATATATTGTTATATTTACTGTTTGAACACACAAAACGCCAAAGGTATATTGGTGTTAATATGTCCATCAATGTCATTAATCATAATCGGTGCTCTTTATTCAGAAAATCAAAATGTCACATTTCAGGATCTGGTTATTATAGACGCAGATTAAATGTTCATTATGAATATTTTTATATTTATCACCACAGAGTGTTGCACACATTAGTAGGTGTAAACACTCAAAAGAATACATATGATGGTTACATTTAACCTAAATATTTTCAGAGTAAACATTTCTAATAATCACTTTTAAAAGTTACAAATGTTGTCTTTGGTGCCTGTTTGTTTTCCAAATATATCGGTGTGTGAATGACGGGCATTAACATAAAACACTTTGTATGACGGTGCTTTATGAAGGTCGGTCCATTTCCTTGTATTAGTTGACCAGCGGTTCTGCCACATTCAATATGGCGGCCGTGCTACGGGCCAGCCCGCTCAACGAGATGCCTGTCGTTATTGCGCCGCCTCAGGAGTTCTCGCCCTGGCAGATGACGACAGCCAATCAGTGATGGAGAAATTTCAGGGGAGCTATGAACCAATAATGATGAACGATTGTTGGAAATGTGTTGAATAGGTTAACTCAAAAACCGCAGATCTGACTCCAAATCCGCCCAATTTATCCCCACCCGCCCAAAGCAATTTTCACCTGCAAAATCAGAATGAAAACCGCCCAATCTGGCAACACTGACCGACTCTTGGCTTGAACAACGCAGCCCATGGTGTGGTTTGTGAGAAGTGTAACAGCTTACAGCACCTGGTATTCCCAGGTTGTCTCCCTTCCAAGTACCAGCAGGCCCGACCCTGGTTAGCTCCCGACATAGACGACAGAAGAAAAAATAATCAATTTGTACGCATCCTTTATGATTGTCTGTTATTGTCTTTGCTGTCCACTGTTGTCATCACTCTGTTAAAATCAGGTCTCTCTTGTAAATGAGTCCCCGAGGCTCAATGGGATTAACCTGATTAAATAAAGGTTGCATGACATCATGCGTGTTCAGGGTGGCATGGCCGTCAACAAGGAGCTTGGTCACTAATAGGACTTTTAAAGGATCATGGCAAGCAAAGACCAGTTCATGGCAAAAACCAATGCAGACATGTTCCAGTTTGTAGCGTTCTACATCGCTTTACAATCTACTTGTTTTAACGATCGTCTGTTGTTGTATTTGTTGTCTACTGTTGTCATCGTTCTTTGTTAAAAACAGGTCTCTCTTGTAAACGAGTCCCCGAGGCTCAGTGACACTAACCTGTATAAATGAAGGTTTCAAGAATTAACCAGAAGTTGCAACATGTATCTAAACACAAAACACAACTAGCTTTAAGCATTAACCTCTAATTTAAGTATACAGTGTAGTTATGACAGAAAATGGAGGATTTGCAGTTTCCTTCATACAGATCAACATGTGGTACTTCTACTGTCGGAGGAAAAAGGGGGTGGAGCTCCTGAAGGTTTCGGTTCGGGACAAATCGAGGGCGCTGATTGGTCAGTTGAGCCTGAGTTGATTGACATCCTGGATTTTATTGGCTCATTTAAGAGCGTCGGCATTTATTCCAAATTTATTCAATATTTTGATGAATCTAAGGTTTGAGAACTGAGTTTTCTTATAATGGTTTATTTTTCAGCCGTGCTGAGTTAATATTAAGGGGTACTTGAGCACCCCAAAAAGAGTTTGACATCGCCACTGCATTTCTCTTTGTTCAGACTGAAAAGTTTATGAAAAAGAAACAACTAGGTTCTTTTTTTTCTGTAAAACTGCATTTGAGTACTGAAGGATTTGAAGCTGAATTGTCAAAGTTAAAACAGTAGCTAAAAGCTGTAACCAACAAAACAAGCTTAAACCTAAATATAACAGCAAAATTAGAGCTAAAAGCTGAAACTACCAAAACTTCGTCTAAAACCTAAAATTTGTAGCTAAATGCTAAAACCAACAAAGCAGTAGTAAAAGCAAAATTAGCTAAACTTTAGCTAAAACATAAATTAGCAACATTGGAGCTAATAGAATTGGCATAAATGTACCTAAAATGTAAAAACCAGCAATACAGTAGCTAAAACCTACAATTAGCACAATAGCTAAACAGTTTTTAAAGCTAAAACCAAGAAAACAGCAGCTAAAACCTACAATTAGCACAATAGCTAAACAGTTTTTAAAGCTAAAACCAAGAAAACAGCAGCTAAAACCTAAAAATGAACAAAATAGCAAAAACGGTAAGAATAGCAAAATTGTAGCTAAAAGCTAAGATTGGTTAAACTGTACTCAAAAACTAAAACCAGCAAACAGTAACAAAGACCTAAAATTAACACAATAGCTAAATGCTATTTGCTAAATTGTACCAAAATGCTAATATTAGCAAAATTGTTGCTAAAATCTAAACATTTTCAACCAGTAGCTGAAATGTTAAATTGCCACAATAGCTAAAAGTTAATAATAGCAAAGTAGTAGCTAAAATGTAAAATTAGCTGAACAGCCTAAAGCTAAGATGAGCTAAATAAAAAAAGCTGAAAGTTTTTGATGCTGCAAAACACACAGACAGGAAAACAAGTGTGCACGCTGACTCGGTGTAAACAAAACAAGTAACCTTTAAGGTAATAAGACTTTTAATTTTAAAACTCTTAATTGTTGCAAAGATACATGTAATTACCAGAAGTAATAACTTGGTAAAAACATGGAGATTCAGCTCATAATGATAATTCATAATTCTGCTCCTGGTACTGTAAAGCTCTCCACCACCACCACCCGCTCAGAAGTGAAGTCTGCTCCAGACGTTAGCGGTTTCCAACGTTGATGTTTGACTTCAGACCCGGTGTGGGTCCGAGGTGATCAAGTTTTTCAACCACAGTGATTCTTTTGGACCACATTGTTTGAGCGTTACTTATCTCCTTGATAAACTTTAAACTGTGTTTCAAATGAAGCGTCTCTTGGGTCTTCATGGTCCTAAACGTTAAAGTTCACGATTCATTAACGGAGGCTGGCGAGGCAGAGGGCTTGATGTTGAGGCAGAAGATGAGTCACTATGGCAACCTCTAGAAGAAGCAACAAAAAAAACAAGTTGTTGATGTTTTAACTTGTTCCTAATTGTCCCCAGCCATCTTTAGCTGTCCCTTCTGTCCCCAACTGTCCCGACTTGTCCTTGCTGTGTGAAAGCTGAGTCAGGCTGTTGGTTTTTGTACAGCTTTGCCGTCTACTTTTCCAAACTTGTTGCTGTTTTATCCACTCGTACATCAAAACGTTTAGCTGATTCAGGAGACGACTCCCGTAATGTTTGATTTTTGTCACTTTTATCATTTTCAAAATATTGAACTTTATCTACAGATATTTGTCTCATACATTGAGGTCATTTAAATCATTTTTCAAAAGCTTGTTCTTTAAAAAGAAAGTTGAGAAAATTAGCTAAATTTTTGTTTTCTGATGCTACTTTCAGCTACTGTTCTGCCTCTCATAGCTTTGTTAGCCTTTTGTTTGTTTTAGCTTTTAGCTAGCTTTTTTCTTCTTTTAACTTTAAACATCCTTTTGCTACTTTTAGTTTCTAGCTAGCCTCTTGATGCTTTCGCTTGCCCTTTCATAGCTTTTTTTATGTTTAGCTAGTCTTTTGTCACTCAGCTTTTAGCTATTGTTCTGCTATCTTTAGCTTTAAGTTAGTTTTGTTAGTTTTAATTTTTTTTAGCTGTTTTTAGCCAAACCCTTTCTGCTTTTTGCTTCTAACTAGCCTTTTACAATTACTGCTACCATTTGCTACTTTCACTAGTGTTTTGCTACTTTTAGGTTTAAGCTAGTTTTTAGCTTTTAGCCAGCTTTTTCTATTTTTGTTTCTGGCTAGCCTTTTTTTTACGTTTAGCTTTTAGCTAGCCATTGCTACTTTTAGCCAACTCCTTTCTGCTTATACCTTTATATTTTGCTACTTTTAGGTTTTAATTAGCCTTTGTATTCCTACAGCTTTTAGCTACTGCTCTGCTACTTTTAGTTAGCCTCTTACTATTTTCTCCTTTTGACTTTTAGCTAGCTTTTTGCTTCTGTTAGATTTTAGCTCGCGTTTGACAGCTTTAATATGAGAACTCAGTTTTAGGTTCTTTAGCGGTCTCAGAGCTCTCAGCGAGTCTGTGTTTTTGCAGTTGATGCCTTTTCTCTAGTTGCTTTGTTCTCCAGCTGTTTGTCCAAACGTTCTCGTGTTCACAGCCACCTTGTCCCTCGTGTCTCCGTCCTACAGCCGAACATGGGAAGCAGCAGCCTTCGCCCTCTCGTTTAGTCTCTGGTCCACACCTCCGTCACCCAGGACGAGCGCTTCGGCTGTTTCCTGCTCTGGGAGAATGAACATGCTGAAGTCCAGCGGGCTGAAAATCCCGGGCCGTGGGGCCAAACATTCCAGCCCAGTGGGAAGAACCTCAGTGGGAGGAACGTCCAGCCCCGTCGCCCCTAAAGACGGTAAGTTAGTCACTTCCTGCTCAGGACTGCCCGCTTCTTTCTTCTCATCAGCGGAAGTGGCTCCGATCGTTTGTTTGTGTTTGTGACTCAGCGGAGCACAGCTGGTCACGTTCAGTCCACAGACGCGCTTAAACGTTTCAACGACTTCAGCGTCTCATCCCACGAACTCACAAAGAGACACGTTGCATTTGGTGTCAAGTTATTTAGCTGCTGTTATTTATTTAGCTTATCTTGATGGAAAATCCTGATTTCACGCTTGATTTTTCTATTCTTGGTTATTGATTCTTTTATTGTTGATTCTTTTACTGAATGCTGAGTGAAGCTGTCACCGCCCACCACCAGGAAAGGCAGGCGATCATGTAAATGCCTGCGTTTTTGTTTGTTTGCCCATCAAAACATTTCATCAACAAGTGGACACATTTTAATGAAAGTCAGGAAGTCGTCACTGGATGTACATGAACTTGATCCAAAATGGCTGCCGCAGTTAGTTACCCGTGGCAAACACAAATAAGTCAATTTTAGAATTGGGGAGCTAAAATCTGTAGCTTAGAATCATTTACAACTTGTACCGTAATCGCTAACTGTTCACCATTAACAATTGGAGGGAATGCTATTTGTCTGTTAGCAAAATTTCTTATGAACCACTCGATGGATGTTAATGAAACTTTAAGAGAATAATCTATAACTGTTCCAATTATGAAGTCAGCCTAAGTCGAGCCACAGTCGGCTTACCGTAGGAAACAGAAATAACTATTTCTATAGACGTTGAGCTAAATTTCAATGTATTGATTCAGTGATATGTTAAGTTTCCCAGCGGATTATAATCTGCACCTTACTGCCACAGAGGGTTCATATATTTCCATCAGAACCAGGATTAGTTGGAATATCTACAGTTTTATCCCTAAAATGTGGATCTGGAGTGAAGCGTTGTGCATAAAGGATGTTGCTGAACAGACAGCTGAATAAATCATTCACTAACACTCTGCTGCACAAAATTACAACCTCTGTGTTCACACGACGTAATCCCAGCTGCTTCCAAACCTTCAATTCCACCACGCTGGCTTTGTTCTTCAGTTCGAGCTCAGACAGCAGCTCCGTTCTCGTCACACGCGCGTAGCTGGGCTTGTGCTAAATTACAGCTTTACGCTCAGCCGAAGTGAGCCGAACACGTGAATTACCGCCCTCCTTCGGCTGATACCTCCTTAGTATCGGCATGAACAGGAGGCGTTTTATCAGAGACCGTGCCGATTGTGGAATTTCATTCAAACAGGAAGTCACAGCGTTTATGATTGAACAACTTTACAGCACTGCAAGCAGTGTTGTGTAATATTATGCACATGGTGTCTTTGTTTAAATATTACTGTTGTTGGACAGTTTCACTTGTGAATTGTTTCCATCCTTTTCCAAGTTGAGGTACAAAAAGAACTTCCTCTGCCTCCGAGGAATGGCCAAACCGAAAACAATAAAAGCTGTCAGCTGAACAGGAATGCTGTTAGCGAGCCACATTCTTTATTAGAGCCGCTTGAAAGCATTTTGAAAGAGAATAAACAACTCTTTCAGTCATCCTCCAAGTTTGTTGTTTGGGCTGGAGGTCATTTTTGTGTCTTTCTTTGTGTGGAGGCCACAAGCGCTCCGAGTGAGCCTGGATTCATCCTGAAAACGCCCGTGAGCGGCTCTGAAAGCTGATCTTTAATGTTGCATTCAGGACTGAAGCCCGTTGCCCCGGGCTCGTCAGCTGTTACTGTAGGTGGCCGCTTGATTCAGCAAAATATCCCGTAAATTCATCCCCATCCTGGTTTCCGCCCAAAGACGATGAGCATTAATGATGGATTCAGTGCTGCTTTAAATTCCCTCTGTTGCTGTTTCTTAGTGATTAATTGTTTGGCAACGATCTGGTCCATCACACTGACGGCAGATCAACGTCTAATTCACTTTAAACATGATGAAAACGCTTCACATTCACTACTTGTGTCAAGATTTGCTGGTAAACACTCAGTGACGCGGACTTTTATGAGGACTCGAGAAAAAAACAAACATTTAATAATATTAATATTCGGAACAAAAACGCTGGCGCAGCCACTAAACCAAAGGGAACGAACAAACGGAGGAGAACCGGTTGTGGAACCACAATGACTGCAGATGGTAGACGTTTGAGGGACTGATGAGGAGACTGAAGACGGCTGGACCAGAGGGAACACGTGTACAACAACAGACAACTTATGTTTGAAATAACGCACAAAGATTTCTTTATAAAGTCCCAGTGATGGGTGAGGACAAACCAGTCTGCCCAGTTTATCTGATTAAAAGCAAAGGCTGTTGGGGAAAAAAGTACCGTATTTTTCAGACTATAAGGCGTACTTAAAATTATTTGAATGTTCTCAAAAATGGATAGTGAGCCTTACAATCTGGTGCGCCTTAAAGGCCAAAAAAATACGGTACATAAACAGGAGAACACGGTGGAGAAGCGGACGCAACACAAAGCACCACAACGCTGGACTGACGAGTGAGGTGAGCCGAGGGACTGAAAAGGACCGGGGCTGATGACTAACAACAGGTTGACTGAGGAGGGGGTAGAATCAAACCAGCCGCTAATAAAACAGAAAAATACATTAAAAAATAGTTTTGACAGCTCAGACTCCAAACCAGTTAATAAAAACTGGACTGGCACAGAATTTAAGATGCATAGAGACGCAGATGAACTCCTCATCTGACCAGACTTTGAGCAAAAACACAAGAAGGGATTTGTTTCCTGCAGCAGGTCGGTCTCTCCGTGGTTTGAATCCAAACTTCCTGTTTGTCGGTTTTAGCTGCTGCAGCAGTGAGAGGGGCCACCGTGCCGGAAGTTGGCCGAGTTTATTTGTCTAAATTTGAAGAAGTGGCTCAGCCTCCTGAGGGAACAGAAGGAAGCTCTCGTCCTCTCGCTGCTCTAGATGTGGAACAGAGCTGTGCCACCTCTACGGAGACCCTGGAAACTCAGAGGTCTCAGCTCGGTCTCTTTAAAGGCGTAAAGTTCAGCTGTTTCCTGCAGGAAAATGGAGACGTGGCAGAGCTAGCATGAGAGAGGAGAACCGTTTTAGGCACACGCTTCGTATGTTCCTCCAAAACAAAACCGTTTAATGAAATGCCAAGTAAGTTCTTTAAACTCTCCGTTAGACGGGGCGAGGAGCCATGTGAGCCCATGTGAAGCAACAACCTCCTGCAGCGCGAGGCTAAATAAAACATCTAACAAAGTCTGTGCTTCCTCGAAAAGATTTCAAACACTGATATTTGATTGTGGCTCTGAATTCATTTTTAACCTCGCAGTCATTTTCTCACACATCAGAAAGATTACCGTGAAGCTTTTTAAGTGTGTTTACAGATGTGTCCATTTAAATGTTGCTCAGTCGGGGGCTTCAGCACTGTTCGTTTACAAGCCTTAAAACGATCCGACGTCAGAAACGTTCCGCCTCAACCGCCCCGCACCCTCCATCCCTCCATCTGTCACTGCTCGGCCGTCCACAGCTGCCACGACCTCTGCTGAAGAAAACAACTGAACCCAACGTGGCCCAGAATGAAGGTGATCATTGAAAGTGATCATAAATTAAAGTTAAAGAGGTCTGTGACCAAAACTGAAAGAGATGGGGGGATAATTGGGAGGACGAGGAAGAGGAGGGGCGGCATGAGGAAGCTGTGGAGGATTCATTGTGCCCAGCTGATGAATGGTGGGATTCAGATGGTGGTGGGAGGAGGCCGTGCACAATGGTGAAAGTAAGTTCCCTCTGCCAAGGAGCCGTTCGCCCTCGCTGCTCTGTCGCCTCAGAAACCCACATCACAGGGTCTGCTCAGGTTTTTAAACGCCACGGGGCCTTTCTGCTCCTGATCGTATCGTTTGTGCATCCTGCTTAGAAAAAAAACCAACAAATTAAAACGGTTTATAACCGATCGCATGCTTCAAGTCATTTAAAGGATGCGCAGATGGGAACATCTGTTGAAATGCAGATGTTTTAAGTCATTTACTGCATTATTTATTTGTGACGACAGTAGCGCCTGGAGTACCTGGAGACAACCGTCTAGAAAAGACCCCAACTGAGATTCAAACTGGCGTTTGTTTCTCCACGAGGCGACAATGCTATCCACTTCTCCACCATGCCACCCACTCCTCAGCTTCACCCCCTATTAAACCCACACCCTGCCTTATATGTCTCACACATAGGCGTCGCAACAATTAAATGTGAAGAGGACGTGTTCCCCCCAACATTTAAAAAGATTAATTCTGACCCCCTCAACCTTTACCATAAAATATTAGTTCACCTCGCGCGGTTTCTATTTGTTCGTGAACAAATCCATTCCACTTGATTCATAGAGACGGTGTTTCCCCTAGATAACCCCGCTTGTATAATGGTAGGGGAAACAATGGGAGAATACTCAAACCACTATAAATCCACTTCGGGTTTTGCTGGTTACCTACAACAACTCCACACGCATGCAGTGTTTCCCGTTGGCCATCTGCCTTGGCAGGATTCTCACGGGGTGATGAGGGAGAGACGCCTCCACAGACACATACGTAGAGACGTCTCTGTGTTGTGCCTAGCGTAGCGCTACGTTAGTGCCAGCAGTGCAGTTGTTGGCTGGTGTGTGGGAGGTTAGCATGCGTGAGAGAAGTGGAGCGTGCTCTATTCAAACAAGGGGAGCTGTTGGTCAGACTACTTCTTGTTGCTCTCTGAAATAGTTATTGAATCAAGTGTTACTTATGTTTAACAACCTGTTAAAATAAACCAGAATGCAGGAAATGACATCTATTCAAACATTTCTGAGGGAGGACCCCCAGACCCCTCCCCCCGACTCCACACACACACACACACACAAACACACACACCAGTGTGTCCCGCTCATATTACAAATGCTTCTGACGCCACTGGTCTCACAGAACAACATATGGAAGCAAGCAGGACACAAACTACACAACAAAACACAACAAACTGAGACCCAAGCTTCCTCTTGGGGTGATAAGGAGACGGCAGCGGCACCAACCATTCATGCACGCACACCGTACTGGCACTGCCGTGCACCAGACCGCCTATAATGGCTCCCTTACAGACGGCTGTGGAGAAAAGAACTGGGATGCAGCTCATTTAAGTGTCAAACAGGCAATATCTGAGGCGGCATGGCAGGGTTAATCACCGGCACGTCACAGATACCATCGCTCTGACCCAGTTTTCAGAAAGAATTAGAGTATCGTGTAATCTTGCACGAGCTGCAGTGCACGCCGAGTGTTGCCACACAGACATCTTTTCTCTGTAGCCATGACAGTTAAATGGGGGGAGGTGATGGAAACGTCAAAATGTGGGAATGCTTCAAAAACAAAGGTTTAAAACATGCTTGATTAGAAAAACGACGAGCTTTGATTTAATTTAAACATATTCTGATGTGGTGTCCTTGATTTGTTTTATGTTTTTAACACTAGAGCTGCTCTTTAACACCGAATTAATCTTTTTTTATTTCTAGGTGCGCCACTCAAGCCCATCACAGCTTCTAAAGTCTCTGAGGAGGGCGACGAGGTTTTAGGGGACTACACTGTTGGTGAACAAGTCTGGGTCAACGGCGTCAAACCTGGATTCATCGCCTACCTCGGGGAGACCCAGTTCGCCCCCGGCCAGTGGGCAGGCGTCATTCTGAATGACCTAGTTGGCAAGAATGACGGGTCGGTGGGTGGCGTGCGCTACTTTGAGTGCCAGCCCCTCCAGGGCATTTTCACAAGACCCTCAAAGCTCACCCGGCAGCCAGTGGCGGAGGGGAGCGACAGCCACTCCACCGACTCGGCCCAGAATCAGAGCCAGCAGGGAGGAAGCGGCGCCCCCGCTGGCCAGAGGGTGGTGGTGCCGCTCAGAGAGGGGCTCCTCAACAGCGCCGTGAAAACGGGAAACGAGTCGGGGTCCAACATGTCCGACAGCGGGTCGGTTAAAAAAGGTGGCGATAAAGACCTGCGAGTGGGAGATCGAGTTCTGGTGAGTCGTCGTGTCTTCTCAAAAGCTTCTTATACTTTATTTGATTTTATTCCTGACGGGAGAAGTTAAGAACTTTGACACAATTAAAGAATCGTATCAATCCTGGTCCATTTTTTTTTTTTTTTTTTTTTTGTTTTGGCACAACTTGATTTAAACTGATTAACATCAACAGTAGAAGAGTCGGACTGCTGAGTTCTGTTAGAACATCTTAAAGGTTCTGAATAGTTCCAAGATCTGGGCTCTGACCAGTTCATGAAGGAAAATAATGTTTGTTTTTTTTAAAGCGTCTTGGAATTTGTCCGTCAGGGAAGGAAAAGCGTATTGATGGACAAACCTCTTCATTAAGAATGAGCAGACTTAAGTTCCTAAATTCGCAATTTCTTCTAGTTGTTGTTCACCACAACGGAGGATGTACTCGATGTACATCAGGCATTTGAATAATAAGTATCCTACCTGCAACAAACCGCAGCGTCATCTCAGTTTGAAGAACCAGAGAGAAATTTTCATGGAGGAAGCTAACGGCTAATCAGACTGAAACAGCACCAGCTCAAACAGGAAATGTTCCCAACAGTTTAGATGTATTAGATTTTTTTTTTACACTTTGTCACTTGTTTACAACGCCGTAGTTTATGTTGTCACTATTTTTATAACGGAGCGTCTTTGCCATTTGCGCTGAAGCTGCTCACTGCATCCGGCGGTGAATCAGCCGTGACTCTCAGCTCTGCCTGTCGTAATCCCAAACCTGCAGACAACAGATTACTGGAAGGAAGAAAACGCAGAGCGTAGACATAAATGTTTGTTAGAGGAGCTGAGCCTCAACCCCTGGTGTCACAACTGATTAGTGATGGGATATTTTAGCAGCAGTTAGCTTAGCCGTTAGCTTAGCCGTTAGCTTAGCTCCAGTCAAGACATTTTTTTTTTACTAACAGTTTTAATCCAGTAACGTCAGTGTAAGCATATGTGTTTAAGTATAGGAGCGATTATGCCAAGTTAGAAATGTGTCTTTTCCCAATAACCCAGTAAATCTGTGAAAGCTCAGATGTCCCATCTTTTCACCAGCCTTGAACGCAGCATCACCTTTGTGAATCTGGAGTGGTGAGTCTCACAAGTCACATTCACTGGCAAGTTGCTCCGTGTGCAGCAGGTGATTTCTGCACATGCAATGCACAGAATATTCCTATTTGTGCCATTTGGAAAACTTTATGCATTTGTGACTCAGGCTTGTGCAACTTTTGAGATTAATTAATCTCCACAGTCGGGTACAGATTTTGTAGCTCCACACATCAGAGATAGAAGAATGGTGTTTCTTTACATCTAATAATCTGACAGAGTGTGCTACTAAACTTACACGTAGATTATTTCCCTATCCATAAAAATCTGGTTGTTCCAGCTTTAATTTAATCTCTTTCTGTACCTTTTGATCAGTAAACCCGTTGCCCAACAGCTGCTGAAATCTTTGACCCTGACGGTGCTTCTTGCTCATTACCTCATGGCCTCCTGTTGGTGTTTATAGTGTTTCCTGCTCGGATACGTTGACCCCGGGTCACGGTGCTGTCCATTTACTGATGGGCACCGCCGGGGATAGGTACATCAAACCACGCTTGAGACCCAGCAGCCTGCCACGCTGGTCAATATTATAAATCACTCCGGATTACTTCCAGCACTTAAGAAAGAGAGCGCAGCGCTGCTGACGCATTGATCAGTGAATCCATCTTTCCTCTAAGCCCCTCCAGTGTAATCTATCTGGCTGCGGTGGCTCGGATGCGCCGCCATCCGCTCGTTTCAGCCTCCTCTGAAACGCTGCTTTAAATTTTTTGTGTGAAATTAGCACAAAGTCAGATTACACACGGTGAACACAAAGTGAGGAGGTTCTTCCGTCACCTGGTGTTGAGTTATTTGATCGGTGCAGGAGAGAGACACGCTGACGAGGACGGATCTGTCTCTCTGTCTCTCACTTTTGTTGACTTGGAGAAATTAACTATCCTGAGTTTAATTTAAAAAAAAAAATTGCTCTTGGAGTGTTTCTGTGTGCGGGGATTCTCTCTGTGCTGACCGGCGAAGCCCTCGTCATGGTTTAACACCGAGTCGTTGCGACAGCAGCCGTCTCTGGTCTGGGTCCAGGCGTCTCTTTTGGTCTCGGTGGTTTCACAGATGGACATGCGAGTTTCAATGTCCAATATTAGCTGGACAAATACAAATAAAGTATCTGACACAATTCTTTTGTTTCTTCTTAAATTTAGTTTCATATTAACTAGAGCTCGACCAGTATGGAAATTATGGCTATCGCTGGTACCGATATTTTGGGGTTGTTTTTGAGCTTCGTCCACCCCAAAGAATCTAAGTAAACTGCTACTTTTAAACCTGTTGAACACTTGAAGTCTTGAAACAGTCTTCCTAACGTGCATGCACATCTTCTATCCTCCACTATTCACCATGAAGTTATCAAGTGTGTTACAAAAACATGAATTAAACAAAGCATCATTGTTTCAATAGTCAATCGCATATGGTGACGGTCTAATTAATATTGACCACAGCCGTGTTTATTTTTCTTTGGAGAGAAGCGGACAATGAGGAGCTTTGAGGACGACAAAGCTAACGTTACGAACACTATAACGAAATCTGACAACGTTAAGTGTTAGTAAAGACTGACGGAAGTCTTTTGGATAAAAGACGAAACATTTCAACGTTTTTTTTTTTAATCCGTCCAGAGGACCTGCCTTAACTTTGCTGGATTTTTCTACCTGGATTATTGAGCATGCATCAGGTTACTAACACCGATCTATTTTGCCTCTACGTTAAATTGTTCTGGATAAAAGTTTTACAAATAAATAGCCTATGCTAGGTTATCTAAACGTTAGCTTGCTAACTTGAGAGGCACGTAGCTAATGACAAGCAGGTTGGGGGATTGAAGATAATTTATTATTGTTTATTCTTTTTATTTTACAGATTAGTTGAAATAATCTTGCCATGCTCTGTTCAGTTAATATGCTACGCAGTATTGCTCGCTGCTTCGGCTGTGCTGAAAGTGAAACTTAAAGTGAACGGCCATGATTTGAACGTAGTCTGCATGCGCTCTCTGCTGGATACATTGTACAATTACACCATTTGCAAGTAAGGACACAGTTTGTTCCCAGTGTTTATATCGGTGCATAATGGGCCATTATTATCGATATGATACGTTCCCAAACGCCCATATCGGCCTAAAACATCGTCTCTACTGATAAAGTATATCAGTCGGGCTCCAATATTAAAATTAATTTTATCATGCAATGTTGAGACGCTTGCAAGAAATGGACGTATGGGGAATTTTTGTCTCTCTTAAATGTTAATAAGTGGGAATTGTCAGTATTGATGAAATGAGAGAGATTCACTTTAATTATAGCAGCTTCTTAAAGACTTGCTCTGACGTGTTGGCTTGTTTTTGTTTGTTTTGCTCTTTATAGAAACACTGAAAGATGACGGTGGATGGCAATGGCTTTGCTCGTCTTTGTTTTTGTCTCTTACCAATATATATATATATATATATATATATATATGTATTATATTAGCTCTTATAGCTCTTATATTAGCTCTTATATTAGCTCTTATATGTATATATACATGCAATGCAGACATTCTAAATCGCCTTATAATCTAGCTGTTTTTTGCTCCTATTGATTGTCTTCTTGGTTGCTTTTTTTGTTTGTTTGTTTTGATTTGTAAAAAAAAAGAGAGAAACTTAAATTTATATGCCTATTTTATGACTGTATTGTTGTCGTTGTTATTCACTGTCATCACTCTAAGAAATCAGGTCTCTTGTAAATGAGTCCTCGAGGCTCAATGGGATTAACCTGTCTAAATAAAGGTTGAATGAAAGAATCCATATAATACAAAATGTAAATATATCTCATGAATCACTACAGATTTTAATTAAACTCTCAGAAAGTAATGAACCCGATTCAAGATGGCCTCCACAGCTAATCAAACACTAAAATGACTTTAACTTAGTCGATTCTACAGAAATGGAGCTGAAATTTGATGTGGTAGTAGCTGAGAGTCATCCTGCTCGGAGTGTGCAGAAGCAGCGCTGCAGCCTGACAGCTGACTTTCTCCTCACGATGAAACGGAGGAGAACGTCAGCTGTCGCTCTGTAGAAAGGCGAAGCTGTGATGACGTCGGAGGGAGAGGAGGTTTTGGACGAATCACATGATATGTGAGCGAAAGTCCAACAAACACTCAGAATGTGGAACTTGGTTCTGAGAGCTGAACTCCCGAGAGTCCACGGTGCGTTCGTGGTCAAAAGTACAGGCGTGGGTCATTCACACAGAAGCAGGTAAAGCAAAACTTATCCGAGGGTTTTAGCTGGAACTGGTGGTCTCAGGGCAGAGCAGACGTCGAGGTCCAGATATCTGATGGGCAGAAGAATCCGTCTCGGAGGCAAAGGGGTCAGGATGTGGGTCGGGACTAAAACGCTGAATTACTTCAGGCATGAGGCATCAGACAATCTGCAGACACTGGGCAGTGCTTAAGAAGCACAGAGCACAACAAATAAATAAATAAACAAACAAACAAGTAAAAGCACAGTGCAGGTGCTAACCTGCTGCAGCAGGTGGCCTGGCCGTTCGCTGACGGGGACTAAAGGCTCTGTTCTGGTGGCGTTTAATCATTTTAAAATAAACCATATTTAAACTATTACAATATTAAAATTGTAATTGTTTATTTACACAGATGGAGGGAAATGGGGAGGGACGCAGGTGGTGAGTGTGCTTGTAGCGGAGAAGTGGGCGTGGCAGAGAGCGGAGATCATGACACGCTGCAGGAGGGAGCTTCTCCCTGAACCTGTGGGCTGCACACAGGTGCAGCAGGTGCCAAATCATTTCAAATCATTTATTTTAAATAAACAATCCATGCCGCCCGTACGGCTCATCCATCAATCACCTAATTGTGTGTCATGTTCAATCTTATTTTGAAAAACCACGAAAGAGCGAGTCCGCAAAAGTTGAACCGCGAAGTAGCGAGGGACTACTGTACAATTTTAATGCACATTTAGGATAAATAAAATGAAAAGACTGAAGTTCTTAGGTCTCGGTGTTTCACATATAGAATATTTTCTTTTTTATTAAGATTTTCTGATGTTTCCCTTTTTTTTTATTTATTTATTTTTTTAATAAAAAAATCATTTTGTTTTATCAACGCTGCAGATGCTGCAACTTTTATTTCCTTTTTGAAGTAAAAAGTTCAAGACAAAAACAACTGAAGTTTATTTGTAACAGAAGACGTTTCGCTCCTCATCCGCGGAGCTTTCTCAGTTCGAAGAACAGGCAGTGTGGCGTTCGAGTCCTAAAGCTGACGTAAGATACAGACGTGCTTCTGGTGAAGAAGCTAAACTCCAAGTCAAAGCTCTTGATTTACTGGTTCGTCTACGTTCCAACCCTCTCCTGTGGTCACAAGATTTGGATCATGATGGAAGGAAGTAGATCCTGGTGCTTCCTCTGTAGGATGACCGGGCTCGGCCTGAGCGATGAGGTGAGGAGCTCCTCATCAAGAGGGAGCCTGGAGTGGAGCCGCTGCTCCTCCTCATCCAAAGGAGTCGGCTAAGGTGGTACTCGGGATGCCTCTGGATGTTTTCCTGGTGTGGCTGACTGCAGAGACCCCAGAGCTGACCTCAAACTTTGTGCAGGGATGACGGTAAATCTTTGCTGTCCGGGAAACACCACGGAGTCCTCGAGGAGGAGCAGGAGGTCTGGGGTTCTGCTGGACTTGTTACCTCCACGTCTGGACTACAGACGAGCAGGAGAGGATAGATGGATGTAAAGATGAGTGATGAAAAACCTGATTGTTTGTTTTTTTCAGGTGGGAGGCTCTAAGATGGGAGTTATCCGTTACATGGGGGAAACGGACTTTGCTAAGGGTGAATGGTGTGGGGTCGAGCTCGACGAGCCCCTGGGGAAGAATGACGGTGCAGTCGCCGGTACGAGGTACGTGCTCACAGGCGATACACACTCCGTGCATGCTCCCTGCTCCTGCAACAACTTCCCTCTTTCCCCTTAAAGGAAAGTGAGAGGAAGGATGTCGATCCGTCTGTTCAACTGTTTGTTCTCGCCCCAAATGGTCCTTGAAATGACACCGACTGACCCCAGATCTGCTCCGGACCATTTGTTTGGCATGTGTTTCCTCTCATATTAGTTCCTCTTGTGATTTTTACAACCTATTGAAACATTTGTTTAAGCCCATCCTGCTGCTCTAGTCATTTTAAAAGCGGACACACCTGATAAAATGTGACGTTTATATTTTGGATTAATGGTTTCTTTTTAAAGATTAAAAACTTGTTATAGCTCAGAATGTGCTGCGGATCAGTCTCCGCTACCACCAAACCAAAGTCTAGGTGAATATAGGATTTATAAGCACTGAGCTTGTCTTGCTTTTCACCTATTGGTTCAGAACTTTATTTGCAAACAAGATGCCTTCACATCCAGCTGAGAAACGTTACAAGTGCTTGATGAACGTGTTTGTGTCTCCAAACGTCTCCTCCTGCAGATATTTTCAGTGTCTTCCGAAGTTCGGCCTGTTCGCCCCCATCCACAAGGTGATCCGAATCGGCTTTCCCTCCACCAGCCCGGCCAAGGCCAAGAAGAGCAAGCGGGTGGCCATGGGGGTCTCGTCCCTGGCCCACAGCCCCAGCAGCTCCTCCATCAGTTCAGTCAGCTCGGTGGCCTCCTCTGTGGGTGGACGCCCGAGCCGAGCTGGACTGGTAAGCTGTCTGCTTGAGCCTGAGAGCAGAACGGCCGTCCAGACGGAGAGCGACGAGCAGTTCGACGGAACCGTTTGATTCTGTGCTCGTTCGCTCTCTTGCAGAGAGTTAGACGAGCAGATCGCTCCTCTCGTGTCTGCGAGGCCAGTTCTGTTGTTGGAATAAGGTTGAAAGAGGAACCCAACAACGTTCAGCATCTTTATCGGTGCTGATCAGTTCGTGCTTCTGCCAAATCTTACCCCGTTCTGTGCAAAACGGTTGTTCCATATCAGTAAAGTAAAAAACTACTGCCCGTCACCCTGCATGCACGTACTAGGAACGGGCAGTTTAGCCCAAACACTCTTTGAATTTGTGGCAAATTCAGCAAAACAAAATGTTTAAAAGTATAAAAAACATCTTAATAAGCTCTAATCTCAGCAGCTGCTTTATGATTTAAAGTCTTTGCCTGTTCCACGTTTTCACTTAAAAAAAAAAAAAAACGTTCACACAGCTGGCGCTTTTACTCACCCCAAGTCTTGCAGCGTCAGGCTTCAGGTGCAGAGACATGTGCTGCTGCTAATCCTGCAAGCTGTGGATCTTTATGCTCCTTCATCTCCACCAGTTTATAAATCAACATGGAGGAACGGGGTGCGTGTAACCCGACAGCGAAGCTGAGCTCACCTGTGTCTGTAGTTTCCACTTTATAATCCTTTCAAAATAAACTACGACGTTAGAACAACAACAGACCCTGGAGCAGATTTGCTTTTCCTTTTGCGTTTCTATAAGTCGCAGTGTGGACAGTAAGCGTGCCAGCCTCCACGTGTTGCATCATCATGTTTTATCCTTGCTAACAGCTTAAGAACAATCCGTCCTGCAGCACAAGCACAAACTTGCTGTCGCCCACTCGTGGTGCATAAAATGTGTTTCACGCACAAACTCCCTACAGTGCTGAAGCAGCACAACCTCGCCTGCTTGTGTTTTCATGCAAACTTATGAAATATTTAATGAGCTTAATGTCTGATTTGAATAGAACTGCAGTTTTAATATGTGGAGTGTTACCGGCCTGAATGTCCAGATCAAACCACTGCAGCGATAATAAGAACAAAACTCCAGGAGGTTAAATCACCAGCATTAGGGCGGCTGCTGAGGTGGCTGCAAAAAGTCCTGACAGACAACCTTCTTGTACCTGAAAGTCATGGATGGACCAAAGCTGCAAAAGTGCAATTTGGCAGAAGAATGAACTGACCTGGAGCCTCATCTTTACATTAAATTAAGATGCCTTGCTGCTTTTTTCACTCCTTACTGCTTAAATATGAGGGAGGTGCAGGTTGTAATGCCTAGCTCTGGGGGTCTGCAACCTTTTTGATCAAAGAGCCATTTCTGCCTCTTCACTCATTAAATTAAAAAAAAAAAAAAAAAAGAGCCCGGAGCCACGAAACCTGCTACAACTGTGATGATCAACTGGTGGCCCATGGGCCATTTTGAGGTAGTTGGAGGGGGCTTTTCTGACCAGTGGGGTGACATTTTAAAACAAATAATCAATAGTGAATTTCAACATTTATTGATATTTTTATATTTTGGGACAAAAATAACTTTA